TTCGCACAATTCAACAGGTCTTCCTTAAGCGACAATCCTCCTTCGGTTTTCGGGGAGAGCACATCACGAATTCCTTCAAACCAACTTTCCCTTCGAAATGGAAAGTCATACCACAATATTTTTTCCGAACTGTTGTGGTATTCCTCTTATCCTGGTATAATAACCTATCCCATATGGCTACATTCATTCAACATATTTGTTCTAAGGATGGATTTTACTTGTCCGGTGCTTCACGCTTTTGCATGATTTCGCTTTTGAATCGAGGTTATGTAGGTGCTTGGCTCAAAATGTATGCTGGTCTATAATTAGATGACTTTTAGCGACCGATTTAATTCTTCCACTCCCATTACAATCTTTCTTTTTACTTCTCCTTTAATCTTTTTTACAATTCATTTAATTGTGTTGGCATTTATTTCAAACTCTACCTTATCTATTTTTTTAATCATAAGTGCATTGCTCCCTTAAATTCATTTCATTAGGCAAATTCTTCATACTCTCACATTTTTATCCCTCTTGTTCACTTTCTACCCATCTCACGGTTACTCTTTTTTGACAGTCTTCGTAGCACCTGCGAACTGGTGACAGAGAGCCACTTTTCACATTTGACTTCGTCCCAGCGGCGGCTTGAGTTTATACCTATCGACTGGCGAACCTCCCTTCATCTTCCCGACGAACTGATCGCGAGCAGCACCCCATCCTCACTGGGTCCGCTTCGTGCCCTCTTTAACAACACGATTATCGACGTATTTTACTATACAAGCCCTGTATACCGACATCAGGTGACGCAAAACCTGGCCGAGGAACTGACACGCATCTATACAATTTTTTGCTCGAGGAATCCCTATTTCGAGACTTCAGGTGGCCAAGTATCAATTATTGCTCATTCTCTCGGCTCCGTGATCATCTACGACGTTTTAACTCAGAGACAGCAAACCGAGCCTCACAAAAGAGAGCCAATTTCAGTATAGCTTTTTATTATTTACGCTATTCTTGAATTTTTCGAAACTAGTATTTATTCAACTATTTCGTTAGAAGGCTTCCTCCCATAACCTTCCCTTATAATGCTATGATTTTGTCCTTTTTTTAATAATCTATTTGCATAATTGAGTTTCCGTTAATAATATTTAGTTCTTTTTATCATGCATCTGTATTGCAAGCTGACCAATATTGTTTTGTTTACAATCCTACTTCTCCTTCGGATGCAAGTAAGAGATAAGAATATATTCGTTCTTGTGATTTTCCGATAGATGTGCCGTCAAATGCTAAAATATGCAACTTCAACAACTAAGGGAGGCTGTAACCCGCATTGAGGCTTATGTTTTCGATAGGAAGGACAGGCTTCCGTCTCAGTACCCTATCCAATTTCCTAAAAATACCCAAACAAATGGCACTGCTTGTACAGGAGTGTGGATCAGCTATTGGAAAAATTATGTGGAAGTATGAGTCAATAAGGAAAATGACTACTGATTATGAGTAAGCTGAAGCTGGCGGGAAATGGCGATCAAGTAATCATGTAGGTTTAGTTCGAATTGTCGAAGCAAACCTTTTACTGCTGAGTTGATATTGGTTTAGGTTAAGCCTAGCCCCATGTACTTGATTTTGAAAATTCCTCACAGCAAATACAAAATCGAGGAAAATTAGAGACTTGATTAATGCCGAATTCAGGATAGCTCTATAAGGTCAAATGTTTCACAAATAGTTGGGGAAAATTTGTGACTGGTTAATTGATTTGGACTGATTCAGCCTGTATCCAAGTTAATCTTGTAATCAGAGGTATGAAGACCTAGATGGTGGGGACTTTTGTGTGATCGCAGTCTCTTTTCGTTGTATAGAAGTTGTTTGTCTTTGTTTTCTTAGTTTGATCATATTGGTAGGAAGAATTAGAGGAGCGCACCCAGTCTGGAGTCCATTGTATGCATGATAATTTTCAGAGTCGGACCGTGGACGTGGTACATTCCCAGACGTTTCAACGGCATCGTAGACTCACGCAAGACCCACTTACGATTCCAACTACTATGCCGGGGAAACGTCTGAGAATGTACCACGTCCACAGTCCGACTCTGGAAGCTAATCTTGTAGGTTTATCCAACAATGAATAAGTTCCCTTTGATCCCTGATGCTAAAACTGTTGAAAAATCAACCTAAAGAAATTATCTGATATTCCTAACTTTAACTCACAATGAAAATAAATTTTCGTCATTCTTTTTTATAAACTTGAAATCTATGATCTCTGCTCGAATCATCTAGCTGAAATTCTTCTTCGTCTTGACTCGTACCTTCAGGTCATGTTTATGAGACGAGATGGTCAGAAGCCAGGGATTTTTAAGATGCATTTCAATAGTAACCTTTTAATGTTAGCATAGCGTGATGATTTTCAAGTTCTGCTTTCAATTCACGCATTCCCACTTTGTGCACTTGTCATTTTTCACCTGGACTTCTACTATCTACTTTTATCCACGGATTCACACCAGTATAGGAGCCTTTTGCTTTTTCATGAGTATTTGACTGTAAAGATACTTTACTATATGCGCATGTTACACGCTTGCTTGAGAAAAGGACTTGATTCCCACTTCATCCATAGGGCGAGCAGTCACTTGATCTAGGCTTATAGATGATTTCTCGCTCCATTCTCTTCCAAAAATTCATCTTAGACCTCCTAAGGAGTACATTTAAAGACTAATCACCTTCATCCCCATTGCTTAACTTTTCATTCTAGCCCTCTGGTGATTCCTTTCTCTCGTTCAGCGATCGACGGTCTGTAATCCTCAGGCTTGATGAAGCCAAGAAAGAGTGAGTCTTATACATCTTGAAAAGTATATTCGATGCAAGTATATTTCGAGACAATCAGTAAATCCTAATTAAAGACTTTACCAACTCTAGGTCTTTTAGAGTGATATAAGGATTAATAGCTAAATGATAGGCTTCACGATTCCTTTGAAGTTAGCTTAGTATTACCTCCCCAAAACCTTTTACCATTCAAGATGGAGTGAAATTTTGTCCGCGTCCTTATTTTATTAGCACCCACAACGTGATATGAAACCTGGCAGTGTGCATACACTATCGACAAGTTACCGCTACTCCGTCACACAATCACGGTTTTAATGGCCCGCAGTATAAGTGTGACTTTAAAAGAAGCCAGGCCTCTCGTAAATCACATTTATAGTGGGATTACCGATAAGGCAAATTTTTGATTGTAACTATAATAGATAGGAGGTTGTTCGACCTTGTTTTCGCAACATGGTCATATTGGTAGGCAGACTTATTGGAACGCACCTAGTTCGGAGTCCATTGTCTGCATGATCATTCCCAAAGTTGAACCGTAGACGTGGTACATTCCCAAACGTTTCGC